ACACACACACACACACACACACACACAAACAAATAAACACACACACACACACACAAACAAACAAACAAACAAACAAACAAACACCTAAGATGAACAGTTTTTCTGCTTTAAAAAAAAAAAAAAAAAAAAAAAAAACTGGACTCCAAACACGGTTCATGAACCTGCTTCATGTCAAAACTCCAAACTTCCCCAGGCGAAAATTTTCTGATTTCTCGTTCTATTCCAGTCTCCAAGCACAAGTCTGAAATGTCAAACTGCATTTACTGTGAATATTTCTACAGTTTAAAACATGAAATATGTGAAAAAAAAAATAAACCAACAAAAAACAAACAAAAAAAACTATAACCTGTAAAAAAGGAAGGACGGAAAAGAGGAATATAGGATGGAAAGAATGGAAATGAGAAAGGATAGGAACTAAAAAGCACAAAAGGAATGATAAAAAAAATGAAAGTAAAATAGGACAGAAGGAAGAAAGGTAAGGAGAAGCGTAAAGAGGAAGAATACACAGGATGAAAGAAAAGGATGGAAAGATAAAAGAACGGAAGAAAAAACTAAATAGATAAAAAGAAAAAGGAAAACAGGAAGGAAGGAAAAATAGTAAGAATAGAAGTTAAAGACAAATTATGACTTGGTAGATAAAAAAAAATGGACAGACAGATGGACGGACGGTTAGACAACTCCAGAATTCTCCTGTGTTAAACTCTGGGAATATTTTCCTCCCTGCTCCTTTCTATTCCCACAAGCATCCACATCCGACACATGCCTAAAACCAAATCCTCCTCTCTTCCAGGCTGCACAGAAACAACAACTCTGACCCGAGTTTACCAAACGGAAGAAAGGTAAGGAGAAGCAAGGTTAAAACAAACGGCCAAACTCACTTCTGGAAGACAATTATGTCGCCGTCCATGAGCTCGTCCAAGGCCTTGTCCAGAGAGACATCGTAGTCCTGGATCCGCTCCGTTAGGTTGGGCTTTACTTCCTGCAGCAACAAAATCATCATCAAAGCGGGATGAAGTCTAAACCGGCGGAAAACCTGGTGAAAAGCCAAACCGACCGCCGCAAACGGAGCTCACCTCATAGAGGATAAGGCTAGTTTCCTGCTGGAACCCTGCTCTCTCACACATGACTGGCAGCAGGTCTCCTGGGCGAAGCGGGAAAAATTATTTTAGCACAAAATAAAAAGGTGTTGGAGATAAACGTCCAGAGATATTCTTACTTATTTTGCAGGATATAGGTGTGTAGATATGTCCACAATAATTTAAGCTTCTGGTTTTGGGGTCGTACATCTTCAAGAACAACATGACATCATCTAAATAAAAAAAATAATAAAAAAAAAAGCATATTAATTAAAAAAAACAAACAAAACAAACAAAAAAAAAACACATCAACCAAGTTAATAAAGTTCAACTGCAGACCAATTTAATAAATTAGAATATTAATGAAAAGCCCCTTTGTTTCAGAAACTTTGACTCAGCGAAACACGTTATATAGATTAAATACACAGAGATGGACGTTCGAAAGCCTTTATGTTTGTTAATTAATGGTGATTTTCCATTTACAGATGATAGAAACATAATGTTTAAAATTAAGATATTACATCAGACCAATAAAATTGGATGTTTTTAAAAACAAAAGAACAACCTTAATGTAAATGATGTTTAATAAATGCTTAAAGATAATACTTTAGACTAGAGACTCATCGGGATGTGTATATTCTAATCTCCCCTCTTGATCGTTCAAGTTTTAAAGCGTAAAGATAAAATGGATTTGATAACAAAGAGGGCAGGTTTACAACAACATGCCGACCTTCTCTGTTGAACCTCATTAAACATGCTTAGAGACCCCGACATATTTGTATTGAAAGTTTTTCGCTACAGAAGGATGCGCGATTGGATGTCGGACACGAGCGAAACTCACGGTCTTTGTCGAACTTGGGTAACGTGGCTCCGCTGGCTGCCAACTCTGGATCCACGGTCTCCAGAAATATTGTCCAGGGGTTTTCGTTGTCACTCAAGTCGATCATCTAACAAACAAAAACAAAATATCCAAAATGGTGACCTTACACCATAGTTTGAGGCGTTTCCCAAAGAATAAATATGTAAATAAACAGCAAATGTTTAGTTCTTAGGGTTTGTACATCTTTCCTCCCACGGGAAAATTCAAGAAGGCTTTTCAAACTTTACCAGCGCCACACTTTAGAGGTAAAAATTACAAAAATTAGCCAACAACAACAAAAAAAGTCTGCATTAATATTTATGTATCATTTATTACTATTACTAATATTTTTCTCATTTGTCTGAGAACAAAACACTGATGTAACAAAAAAAATCCTCATATTTAAAGTATAAAATATAAACCAACCTTTATTTCAGTCACACAGAGCAATAAGTCATTGAACCATAAATATTTGCTACATTGAAATGATCCAACCAGATCGTGTTAAGGTAAATAATATTCCCGCTCAAATTAAATGTTTAAATAAATTATACCAAGAAATCTCTAAAAAAAGAAAAAAAAAAAAAGAAATTTTCTAAATTTTCTGGCACTTAGCAAATAGAAAATAATTTTGGTAATTCTAACTTCAGACAGCGAGGAAAAGGAAAACTATTTGTGTTTTAATTAGGCGAATGAAATCATCTGGCTTCAACTGTAAAACAACATTTTCCAAATTTATGCTTTTAATCAAACGTTAAATTGCTCTTTATTACAAACTGTGCAGGTTGAATATCAAAGCACTTTCCAAACCTTGAAAACAAACAATTGAATTTCAAACCCCGGTTTGTCCTTTAAATAACGGACTACAACACCGGAGCGTATTTCTGAAGATCGGCGTTTGATCAGAGTGGTGACGAAACAATTTCAAGGATTTCTTTTATTTGTGGTTTTCAGCTGTGCCTTTAAAAGCGCTTCCTCCTAAATTGGGACGGCCGGAGGCGCGTAACTCGAACAAAACCTGATCAATTCAAGTGGCTCTGCTGAAAACACGCCCAGAAAAAAAAACCCTTTCCAAAGCAAACACGTACCGATTTGTTACAATCGGCCTCGTAGTCGAGCATGGCGGGTCGCTTGGTTCCGTTACTGCGGGCCTGCATGGGCCAAAGCCTCATCTGGTCCTGCGGGAAACCCTGCAGCACAAAAATGCTCAACTTTAGAAAACTTCACAGAGACGTGTTGTAGTTGGTAACGAGGACAGCAGGAATGAAGGGCACAGCGAATGTTTGTGCAGTTTTTTTTTTTCTTCCGACAGTTTAGATTCTACTTTGTAGGCAAACAGGAAAAACGACAAGTCTTAACCTTCAAACAAATACAGGCATATTCAGCATATTCAGCTTGAGTTTCAGCTTTTTTTTATGCAAAGTGAATTTTAAGGTTTTGATTTAGAGAATACGTTACTGTAAAAGAAACTTTCGTGTTTTGTGCAAATCTGCGCCTCGGACGAACATGAGCGACTCACCATGGTTTGGGAGAGGTTCTGGACAAACTCCTGCAGGGTGGAGCTCTTCAGGATTTTGAAGACTGTGTACTTTACTTTCTCTTCGTCGTACATATCGTTGCCCTGATGTCCACAGAACTGGTCCTCTGTCACCATCTGGATGTAGAAGATAGATAAACGTATAGGATGAGAAAGATGGAACAACAAAAAAAGGTCTGAATGTTTAGCATTTCACACATAAATAAGCCCAGAAGAATAGCCTCAGCTGAGGGCTGACTAGGTCTGCATGTGGTCTAATATTGACATAAAACTGAGAAAAGGCTGTTTTATAATATTTCCAAGAATGTTTTCATTCCTCTGTTGTATTTATTTACATTCTAGATTCGTCACGATAACACATTTTGCTGGATGATAAATAGTCACAGTATTTCTTTTGATGATGATAATGTTGCTGTTTTGTGGCTACTTTCAAGTAAAACTGATAATGGCATAATAATGCAAGTTCAAGCCTTTCAAAGACCCACACACTTAACAGTGGAGCTGAGTGATATTTAAATATCCAAAGTAAAAACACAGAAGTAATAAATCAAATAAAATAAAGACCACACACATCTGAAACCACAATTAAAATGGTTTATGTCTACACAAAGTTACCCTTCAAAGTAGAAATTATTGCACCGATTTTAATTTGTCCTGCGTTCAAATAATTGCAACAAGCTTATTTGCATGTAAATATTAAAAACAATGCTTTTAAACAATTATTTGCTTTTATTTGTTCTGCTTTTTATTAATTTGTACTTTCATTCAAAAACAAAAATCTGATTTTACATCCCGTGGCAGAAAAATAACAGCAGTAAAAACGAACCAGTTTTAGCTCCTTTCCTAAGGAAGGAAAATATTTAAACCAAGTTGTCCATCAAAATAGAAGTGGGTTAAATAACCACACATACTCATGCGAGGCAATAAAGTCAACAAATAAACCCAAAATATGGTAGTTTGGGCTGGGAGAGAACCCCAAAGCATTAAACTAAAACCCTGCATGGACTTGAACAACAAAACTTCACAAGTTCCAGCCTCAGATGGGATTGAAAATGGAAAATTTGTCCCCGAAACGCTATAAAGCCAACCAAAATAATCACTCAAATTGCTTCTATTTAATGAGTGGTAAACAAGCAGAATTCATGAAAGCACTTTTAATTACAGCCATATTCATCTAAACACACATACACACCGATGCACAGGTCAAGTGCCAAGCTGGAATCGAACCCACAACCTTCTGATTGTCCCGGACGGACCAATCATTTCAAGCTGCAGAGATATAATTAAAACGCTGCTGCTTTTATTTTTCCCCGAAACTTGTATTCCACATATCTCGTTTATGATGACATCCACATTTTCTTCCCTTCCAACCATTAAACCTCCTCAACTTTTGGCGTCCAACAGGCTGAGTATATTACTGCCAAGCACAGAGTGAACTAAGGACACTGTTCCAAAAGGTCGTTTGAAATATTAATACTGCAGAGGCTAAGATCGAAATAGAAATAGTTGCTGTGATTGATCGCGCAGCCCCAATAGAGACGGGGGAGTTCCTACGTATAAAACCGCCTCCGTGGTTTCCTACCTGAACCTGCATGTAGAGGTGCGCCTCTTGGCGTTCCTTCCTCTTCTGTGCTTCCACCCTCTTCTCCTCCTGCAGACGCTCCACCAGCTGCTGGGGGATGTCCCCATCAGTCATCGGCTGGAGAACCTCACCTGAGTTAAAAAAAAAAAGAAAAAAAGAAGAAGAAATAAATTACATCCAACTCACTTGAGGCTTTCGACAGAATATTTCCCCCAGAAGGGTTTCACTCACTGAGCTTGGATTCGCGGATGTAGACCAGCATGTACGCGTTAGTGCAGTGGCGGACCGACAGGTCGTCGTCGTGCCCGCCGTAGTTGTGTTCTATGGCCTCCTCCTTGGTGCACCGCGACACCACGTCGTCGTCGAACTTACACCACTGCAGCGGGAAATAGAGCGATAGGTGGAGAGAGGGAGGGAGGGTCAGGTCAGGAAGTGACTTTTCACACCTCTATGTGCAGGTTTTGGTATCCAAGCCCCTTGAACTGTTTCACATTTTGTCAATTTACAAATAAAATCTATGTTTTACTGGGATTTTGCATCAGACCAACACAAGGGACTGCGCTACAGAAGTGCACAGATTACACTTTTCTGGCCAATCTTTAAAAAAAAAAGAAAAAAGAAAAAAGATTGACCTATTCCAATCTGCCTATCAGTTCTGACACTTGGAAGAAACAATCTAAATTGCTTCCTGCATTTAAAAGAAATCTGTATAATGGAGCATTATCATGGCATTAAATAATCTGATGTTTTATGCATTTGAAATATGGCTGGTAACGGTGTTTTGAGTTGAGTAGTTAACAGCAGCGGTAGAAACGTGGTACCTGCAGGCTTCAAATTTAAGTCTTTGAGACTTATTTAATTAGAGTTTGGATAAAATATATGGTTTTATATATTTATATATATATATATATATATATATATATATATATATATTTTAAGACCTGTGATTTGTGTATTGACAGCTAACATTTTTTTTTAAAGATTAAGGAGTCGCTCTGACAAGTTGTCGTTAACCACCAAGTGTGCTCTTTTTTCTGCAATGCTGCTTTCAAGTACAACGTGTAAAGACTAACATCTCTTGATGATTTAGACTCATTTAATTTACATTAAATGTTGGGACAATTTTGTTGGAAAAAAAAAAAAATCAAAAAACATCCCCATGCTGAGCATTTTCTTTCTGTTGCAGAATGATTTATATTAATAAATAACATCAGACCAAAATTCTTCTTGGTTCTATACTGGCCACGTTAGAAATGCTGGGATATAATGAAATGAAATTACTGATAAAAACTGTAAATGAGGAATAAACTACACATCTTTAAACATAAGGAAATCCGTAAATTGAGAGCCATGAGTCTCCAATTTCAATTTCTATCGAAGCAGTGCAGGTGCAATCCCGTGTCCTGGTCTGGTTGTGCTACAACAAGGAGCATGAATACTTTTGCAATTTTCTGTGTCATAATGCTTTAATTTTATCAGGAAATAGGCACAATATGTGGAACAGATGTAGCATAAACAAACCCCCACACCCACAAAATTTTTGTTGCAAAAGTGCATAAAAAAAATTTGTCCTTACAATTGGTTCCTTGACACTCACTTTGCCGTCTCCTTTGGGGTTAAGATAGACGACGTAGTGACCGCCATGGTTGTCCCCGCTGTGCACCAACACTGCGTGTAGGATATAGTTTGCGGGGTCCTTGGAGTCTGGCTTCTGCAGGAATTCGTCCAGAGGTAACTGGTCGGGAAACTCGAATCTGCGACGGTGGGAGGAATCACAGCAGGAAACCATCGACGAGTTAACGTCAACGCACGCGTTAAAGAACAAACAAACATGTAGAGTCCAGGGAGGAAAGCAAGCGATAGTTCATGCAGGAATATGACGCAGGAAAACGTCACAACAATCTTCATCATTCGTTTTTGGTTTTATTTATTCGCTTTCATCTTTCAACTAAAGACGACTGACAAGAAATCATCTGAGTGGCGTCCATTCCTGCCATCGCAGGGTGACGGTGGGTCAGGCTGTGTTCACACTCAAGAGCCTTTTCTGGAAATAAGCGGCACCCTTTAACCCAAGGTAATATGGAGCAGACGCTCTAAAATTACACCCTGGCATCAGCCACCGGCACACTGTGAGGCTGGAAATGAACCACTTTGAGGAGGGCTTTTTTTGTGAAGCGATGCACAAATAAACCCAGCAGAAAAGAGACGGGAGACGGAAAAAAAAAAATAATAATGAAGTCACACTTTACCTGTCATTAATCTTGATATTTTGGTCAGTCTGTGGGTCATACATGAACCTCATCAGCTGCAGGTGAAGGATCGGAGGGAAAGTAAGGAACTTCACACCCTTTTCTGCCTCCTGCAAAGCAAAATTACACGTTAGGACATTTGCGTGGAAGATTTTACTGATGGATTTTATTGCGGTGTTGGTTTAAAAGTGATACAGGAGAAACTAAAATACAGTAAAAAAAAAAATAATAATAATCAAAAATTCACATTTTTCCAAACCACACAACCACAAGCTTTCAGTGGCCAACACGAAGTAGAAAACATTTATAAAGTGAGCAGAAAATGATCAGTGGTGTTTGAAATATTTTTAATTTATAAATTAAAACTTACATTTTCATTTTGCAAAGCGTACATCATGGAAATAGAAGATATTTTAAGTATCAAAACTAAAAAATGATAACCAGAAACAAAAGAAACAACATAAAAAAACACTTGCAACAAGGACCGCAAAAAAATCAATTGCGATGTCTTTGTAAACAAAACTGACCTTCAAAAAAATAATCACCATCAGAATGGAAATTATCCAGCTCATCTTAATTTTTCATGTGTTTAGTTGATTGATTGCTCATTGCAACAGGTTATGTTTCAGATCAAACCTATGATAGGACAAGTTCTGGTCCAGATAAGACAAACAAGCAAGTTGAAAACAGGTGATGGTGGCAGCATCATGCTATGAAGATACATTTTTGCACTAGAGGATGAGAAACCTGGTCAGAGCTGATGGGAAAAGGGCAGCAATAAATAGACAGTAACTGCAGGGGGAAAAACAAGCCAGAGTGGGTGTAAAACCCCAGTCCTTGAAGCCTGGTTTCCTGCAAACCTTTAGATGCATCTCTAGTCCAAAACAAGCCAGCATGCAATAAAGTTTTTCAGAGTCCTGCTAATGAACTACTTATTTGATTCAGTGTGCTGAAGCAATGAAACGTCTAAAAGCTGAAATCTGATCCCCGTGTTAAAGGTTGGAGCAGAGATTCACCGCCTTAAAGATACAACCAGACCCGACGAAATGAAATTATTTAGATAAAAGCATATTCATGTGGGAGAATGGCTTAGTCAAAGCCCAGACCTAAAGCAACTGGAAGTCGGGCAAGATTTGAAATGAATGCTCGTAATCTCACATGGAAAAATAGCAACTGTTCTTTAAAATCCGCTCCTAAATCATTTTCCTTCTACTTTATAAAGTGCGTCCTTCAGGAAATCCCAGTGCAAGACATTAAAGTTTGTGGTTTTACAGCTAAAATGTGTGGGGAAAACTATGATTTTCTACATATTGCAAAAAGATGTGAATACATTTTCATAGAGCAGCCATGAGCCAAAACTAGACTTACTTGAAGACCGTGCTCTCCTGCGTCGTACTTGTTGTCTCCGTCTAGCTGTTCAGTCGCAACATAATCTTTAAATGACTCGAATACTAGGAACAAGAAGAGATGAGACAAAATTAGGGGGAAAAATGTAATCATTTCCTAATTTCTTTACACTTTACTATCAATTTTAGTGAAAAAAAAAATATATAGAACTGACAAACATTCATTTAAATCCTAAAATATAGAAATGTTCAAAAAATGAACGGTCTTGCTACTTAACTGTTCTTCTTTCCTTTTATGCTAAGCTGGATGTCGTAGTAGTCCTCTATCCGCTCAGACCGGTAGTCCACATGCTTGCACTGGATATACGACTGAGGAAAGAACACAAATGGGTCAGAACGCCGTTCTGCAGGACGGGTAGAAATGATCATTCTCGCAGGATCACGTCATGATTTAACGCGTCTCTAATTTTAAACCTATAACTGTCCAAAGATCCATCTGAAACCACGTTAGTCTGCTTCGTGCCGGTTTGATTACAAAATTATACGTGTTTGGAGCAAAACTCGAAACACATCAAACAGCTGCGGACATTTTCTTCAAGTAACAAGACAAGAGAACCTTGGGACAAACTTACCACCATCTTTCCTCTGAACAGCTTGGGGATGGTTCCTTCAACACAAGTGCCTTTCATCTTGTTCTCCACATTGTCCAGCAGCTGGACAATCACACGGCATGATGCGTTTCAGGAAACATTCAGCAAACACCCGGGGATACTTTTAAGACCAACGAGAAAACTTACAACTCTGCACAGCTCCTGTACATCGTGCTGCATGAAGCTATCCAGTGTTTCCCACCTGTGCATTAAAAATACACAAATAGAAGATTAGTTGGATATAAAATCCAAATGGATGTTTTAGATTTTACTCGAGAAAGGTCAAATTTTCAAACATGAAATGCTTGTTTTTAGTCTATATATGTAAAAAAATAAAAAAATAAAAAATCTACCCAAAAGACTTTGTGAGTTTCTTGGTGCCGACTGGTTTGTCGCTGTGCTGCAGTTCATAGAAAACCCTCTGCAGCGCCAGGGGAACGCTCTTGGATGAGTCGTCGCCTTCTGTGGGCATCATGTACACCGCCTACGAAATGAACAGGTTTTAGATGGCAATACTGTAAGACAGAGGTTGTTTCTTGACGAGATAAAACATTTAAATCACAATAAATGTCATGTGGTTAAAAGAATATGGCTCGAATCTGAGAAATACTTCAGGGTTTTGCGCGATAAAAACAAGTGAGTGTGGACTCTGGTTGACGTGTTTATGTAAAAACAGTGAAGAGTTTCCAGGAAATGGCCGTACCCGTCGTAACTGGTTAGTGAAGAACAGTGTCTGTAGCAGGCTATTCATGTAACAAGTGGCTCCCTGGTTCTTGAGTCCAACGTAGCCTGTGTGTTTCTTGGAGTCCCAGCTGGTTTAATCAGGCAAAAAAAAAAAAAAATTTAATAAAAGATTCATAATCAGAGTTTTAGTTCAATAATAAGTTTTAGTAAAGCCCAGCAGAGGGATAGAGGGATAAATCTACTTACGCGACTCCGTGTGGAGCGTCTGCCTGGACGTAGACTTCAAACGTGACTTTGTCGTCATCGATAAAGCCTCGCTCCGGATCTGTTACATCCTGTGACATAACAAGAGGACGTAAATTCAAACGATGAACTAAATTAAAACTGAGCAAACATGCATCACCCGGCAGTTAACAGGGAAACAAGAAGCTGAAAATGTCATTTCTGCGTACTGCTTGTATAGACGCTCTGAGTCGCGAAAGCAAATATTACATCGTCTGTTAGGCTCCCGTTTCGTGTGGGGAAAATAACGGGGAAACGGTAAGAAAAATGTTTTTATTGAAACGTCGACCTTTCCGTTAGCTCTCGTTGGATTTGCGTACTTACACTCCAGGACATGAAGTTAGAGAAGCCCCAATCGTTTTCCTTGTGGAAGAATAGGTGACTGATTCTGCGGCTGAACGACTTCTCGTCGTCTTTGTAGTTAATGATTTTTAGCATGGCCTGAGCGTGGCAAGACCACGACCTGGAACGGAAACGGCAGGATTACTTCCCAAACACTGAAACAACCTTAAAAGAGAGAATCTATGGGGTTTTATTTAACTGTAGTGCAATTTTAAGAGGACCAATTATAAGTGCTTAACGGGTTTTGAGAAGAGCAAAGAAAAATCTTGTTGAACAACGAAATTGGACCTTTATGTTAATGTCTACTTTTAAAAAAATTAAGGATCATTAGTTATTGGATAAATTTAATCCTGAAGTAACAATATTGACTAAAATCTGACAGCCCCCAATCACCATCAACCAAACATCATAACAAATCTAGAGAGAGAGGGAATGGAAAGTCACATACGTGGAGTCCGACTCGGCGTTGCACTGCAGGAAGAAGCCGACGCTTTTCTGGTGAGGCCGGTCAGGGTAGAACCGCGGCATCACCATTATCTTCCAGGGCAGGTTCCGGACAAAGCAGGCCGGGCTCAGAACGGACTCGCTAAGGCGACTGAAGCGCTCCACGACGAACCGGAAGGTCGCCTCCGATCTCCAACTGGTGTCTGCGAGGAGATGACGGGCAAGAGAGGACAAAATATAAAAACTGCAGGGGCTCTAACTGACCCGAGACTGAAACAGTGAGGGAGGAGAAAGTTGAGTCTAAATGCATTTTCTCATGTTCACTCTATAAACTTTAAATTTAAATGACTAATGTTAAATTAAAGTAATCCGTACAAACGTAAACAGACTGGTATTGTGATCTTGTGCACTTCAGATATCGATTTGTTTGCACAATAAGGATATTTATTACACTGTACTTAAAAACAGACTACGGTAGCTAAACAAAGGCAGATATCTAAAATAATACCCCTTTGTTCAGTTTGCAGAGTTTCTGCAGATCTCACCAAGTCAAATTTAAGACTTTTTAAGACCATTGTGTCCTGTATCACAACAGAAATGTAGCATATTTTGCATATATTATATAGTAGTGGCAAGCTTTTTTTGCCCAGAAAACATGTAGCATCGTACAGATTAGCAACAGAAGTGAGCCAGTGTCAAAGACAAGCGCTGTTCATCTAACTGCTGATAAATTTACACTTACTAGTGGAAAAGAGCTAGGTAGCTAGCAAGGCTATATTAGCAGGCAATTAGCGGTAGCCTCAACTGCCTCCAGTCGAGAAGATGTCTGTGTGCGATTCAGACTTTCCCCTGACAGAAAAGTCTCACGAGAAACAGAAACTATATAGAATTTATTAAATAGTCCGGCCATCACAAAATTTAAAATATGTCATTTTTAATGTACTTGTTGTTGTTCAAATTTAATACACTTTAAAGCCTTAGTTTTAGATACATGAATTAAAGATTTTTTTAAGGATGCGTTTGTAGAGACATAAAGTAATGCGTTTAATGTACATTGCTTAGTGAAAATCAGAGAAAGGGTAGAGACAGATGCTTTGATGCATAAATAGAAACAAAAAAATGAGAGAGAGCAGAGAAACAAAACCAGCAGGTAAGACCTCATACAAAACCAGCAATAAAGAAAAACAGTGATTGACTCAACTTTAAAAAACAACAATTAGTTATAGTCAAAGACAAAAAAATATCAAAATGATAAGATCTCAAAGTATTTCTCCAAGCTAGCATGAGCGTTCATCCTCCTCACCGTCCTCCATGTCCTCCTCTGTGTTGTTGTGTCCGTCTGCCATGGCCACGTTACCGTTGATCACCGGGTTGGCCGGGATTCTTGGAGGGTCATCTGTCTCCCCAGCTGCGAAGAAAAAAAGTTAAAGTAAAGATGACAACTCTGCACGGATAAAGACAGAAATAGAAACTATCTGAAAAACATTTGTGGATCATAGACAATGTGCTAGACTGTTTTATTTTTTTCTTTCCCCCACTCTGTAGTAATTTTACTAAAACCTGTGAATATAAACACCTTCCATTCAGTGTTTTTTTTGTTTTCATGTTTTAGTTGCAACTCCTGGTCAGGACAAAACAAAATATGTTCCACAGTGTTACACCCTGTTGGGAAAAACCATGCCGAGGCAACATGACAAGTGTTTCCCAATGTGTGTGTGTGTATGTGTGTGTGTGTGTAGACAGCTTGATCTCATCAGGAAGAATGTGTGTGAGTGTGTGTGAATGCAAAAAAAAAAACCCAGAAAGGACAAAAGGGAATACTGGGGTGGGTAATTATGGACAGGACACAGGATTAAGAAGCAAGTCATTCTTTAAACAAAACACACGACACACTCGCAGGCAACGTTAATTATCCCATTTGCAGAGGCTGATCCAGAGGAACGTGGATGGTAGCGGGGTCGCTTCAAGGTGGGAATGCAAATCTGGAGAGGATGACAACGATGCTACGGTTTCTTAAATATGTCCCCGAGCGTGTGACATTTCTTCTTCTGCTGAGTCTTGTTTGTTTTTCTACAGACGCTGCTCTGAGCGTTGAGAGCCACCAGTCAATCTGGTAACATGACTGAACCGTGCCTTCAAGAGGCTGACCTGGTTTCCCCCAAGTGGATTACGCCACATTAATGGAGTCTGTCAGTCAGGTGCATGACAACTTTGTCCCGCTTATGGCAGGAGTCTCGCCTGGAACCCGTAAAGGTTTTTGCTTAAGAACGCAACAAACAGCCTCTCATTATTTCACTGACTGCAGGGGAAAAAAAATAATAAACTCATTACTACTACTTAGAAATGTATTGCCACATAGCAGAACAGTGAAATGTCTAAAGGGCAGCTTTGATTTAAAAACAAAACATTCAGGAAGACGAAAGCTTTCCAACCTTCCTAAATCTTTTTGGAAAAGCCACAGCATTAAAAGTAACGGGGGGGAAAAAAAAGACTGTTCTGATGCAGATAGCGCGCAACATTTAGGTGATTTCAGACATCAGCACTCAACTGCTTTTCCTAGTCATGAATTATAAGCACATGCTTAACAAGTTGACGCCCCAAACACCAGAAAAAAGTAACTAAAATGATTTTTTTTCTCCACCATTTTGTCAATTTAGAAAATAAATATGGACTCAATTTTGCTGTGACTTGTAAAACCAGGTAAGTAAATTATGTCTATGAAATAATCTACAAGTACAACTTTTCTTGAATAGTTAGTGTTTCACTATTTTTCCCTCTTAAATTCAACTACAAAGATTGACATATGGATCAATATAAACCGAAAGAGAAAAATATTTTTATACTCAAAAGAAAATAAAAAACTTACTTACAAAAAAAACAAACAAAAAAAAAACAGGTCAGTCAAATTATTGCAACTAATTCTCGTTAAAACAGTTGTTTTTTTTTAACTACAGTTGGCAGGCTAAGAGATGGCTAAGAAAACGTTCAATTATAAAAATATATTTCACAATTTTCTTGCAAATATTGGTATTAAAACCATGGAACTATTATATTTTTTTAATCAAGAGGTTATCTATTTATTTGGTGTTGGTTGTTGCCTTGAACAGCCCAGTCAAAATAGTCTGAACTTTATTCTGGTCTTGAATTGATGTCAGTACAAAACTATTCTGGTCGTTAAGATAAAAAAGCATTGGAGCTTTGTAAACAACACTATGAAGATTTTTAGATGTTTTTGAAATTATAGTTGATGGGACAAGAAATCCTGGTTGTTAAGGTAGTTCATTTTTACACTTCCAGATTGATATAATTTAAAAATTAGGGAATGGAAAAAAAAAATCTGGAAATAAAATAATTTTTTCTTATTCCATCCATATTCAAAGCTGGGAAACAGTAAAAGCAAGCTCAATAAAAACAAAGTAGGAACCTTGCTCTTAACGTGAATGCATCATAATTCACCTGTGGTGATGTAGATAAATGACTGGGATAAAACTGTAATCAACTGTAACTAAGACATAGTACAGTAATTAATAGCAATGTGTTAGAATAAACTGTGGAAAAAATGTTAGACAATTTGTTCTCATACTTGTAAGGGTATAAAGCTAAGAAGGGGCTGACTAGTAAATGCACCTGCTACTGGTAAAACAACTATTAAAAAACAATGACTAATACTGCAAATAATGAACAGACATGCTTAGTCACTGTAAAACAGAATAAAGTAATTGGCATTGCTTGTGTTACACGATCATCATTAATGTGTGTTTAGATTAGATAAGAATTAAATCACAGAGGCAAAATGACGCAGCGAGGCTCTCTTAAAGAGTCTGAACAGACCCTAAAGTTGACATCGATAAGAGATAAATAAAAGTAGCAATTGTGCTGTTGGTATGTGTGGGACATGGTCCACACATGTTTCAATGGCTCGTCCCGACTGCAAATCGATCTAACAAAAACACAGATCATTAAAAATGGCGAGAGCTCCCAGCCGTTTGGTCCTCCATACAATGAAGCAGCAAATCCCCGCGCTGCCCCCTGTGTGGGCCTGGCTTACCGCACCACTAACAACAGTTACTTTTCAGCTCTGGCAAACGGCTCTTCTGAAACACCGTTAAACGCATGAAACAACGGACTTATCCGGGAGGTTGAACTATTGTTGGCGTTTGAAACTGTTATGATTAAAACGTAAAACGACAAAGTGCATGTACCGTGGTGAACACAAGCTGGTACTGACGCATCTGCGTTCCCGTTAGCCACCTAGCAACCAGTAGCAACAAAATGATCTGCGGGTCCTTATTAGGCAACATTAGCTGTACACACAAACACCAACTAGCATGCTAAATTTAATACAAGGTGAAACATGTAATAAAATGTCATCACTCTAGGATAGGAATTGAGAAAAATACAAAAAGAAATCCGCACCGGGTTAGCAACCAAGGCCCAAACGCTCTAGCAGAATCGAAAAGGCCACCATTTTGGAACGCCACACACCCCCCTCCGTTAGCATACGCTAACTAGCATGCTAACTAAGGATGACACAAAACGAACTGGGCCTTGGAGCTAATTTACCAGTTTAGAATTGCTTGTCACGCAAACTCTGTTCATTGTGTTTGAGAGGAATATAACAACACAAAGAAATAATTTAATTTCTCTGACTACATATCTAACTTTAATAAAATGCTAATTTATTGAACTGCGGAGTGTTTCACTGTGCAATTAGCAGCCTTCAATTCAAACACGCTACTAGCACTCATCCTCTTCAGGCTAGCAATGCTACCTATCGAACAGTTATAAACGAAAGAGTGGAAAACTACGGTTTAATCACAGAAGCGTTGATGGACTATGCAGACAGGTATTTTTATCTGCCAATTCAACCCGGGAACTACAATGAAGAAAGATTAATTTACCGTGAAATGGATTCATGTGATTTGCAAAACTAAGCAACGTTGTTTACAATTCTTTAGTTTATCAACGATCAACACGACCTGAAATCTAGAGATTGTGTCCCCATTCTACACGACGTTTAATTAATAAACCACATCAGATCGCTTGTCACAACAGCGTCGGCGGCGAAAACTGAACGGCAAGAGAAATGCGGTAGCCGAGTCGAATGAATGATTTATACGGCCAATCTCCAGGTTTAAAAAACACCCTCATCAATTGGCTTTTATTTCCAAGTAACGTCTAGTTAAAAACATGGGACGATAAATTAAGTACAGTTTGCTTATAACGCAAAATGAGGTCAGCTCCGCGCGAGTCTGCTGCAACGGGCGCACAATCAGCAGAAATTCAACCGGCTACCCCAGCCTGCCTCGGGCCTTGTTGTTTACTGTAATGTTGCGCTCAGACTGCACCAACAAAACTTCACTTATTTGCCATGCAGCAGGAAAAAAAACGTCAAGCATTTTGCAAATAAGTCTGTTCACCCTTCTTACCTTCCATCTCCATGTCCTCTGGTTCGCTGAGCTGCTGCTCGCCGGCTTTCTGCTGCTGCTGCTGCGTATGGTGGTGGTTCATGTTGGCAGCTGCTGTCGTGATGCGGTGCTCTCTGCTATCTCCGTCACCCTCGACCTTGTCCGGGGCAGGCTCGGCGGGGAACCGGGTTCTGGGCTGCTGGTGCGGTGTAGCGGCGGGATGCGGAGGTGGGGTGGACAGGTCGAGCCTCGGCGGCCGAGCCTGCTCTGTTGCGACCTCGGCCTTGTCCGCTGTCAGCGCCGGGGAGTGAGGAGGGGAGGTCAGCTGGGGAGCGGGTAGAGAAACGCGGACGTATTTGCTCGCTATTCGCCCAATCTCGGCGCTTTTGTTGGGTACAAGTCCCTGGCTGACGGCGGGGGATTGGGACTCCGGGGACGGAGACCCGTTGAAACGAACTAAATCAATCCGGTTCAACCCCGGGAAACGAGGCTTGCACCTTCAGAAGCAAATACCCCGTTTGCAGCTAGCGTTCAGCTACCTGACACTAGGCAGCCAAAAGGTAATACAGCTGCAACAATGAAAACAAAGGCTCATTTGCTAGGACACAATTAGCAAGTTTGCCAGCGGTATTCCCAGTCCGTCTGCTCCTCCGATTGCCCAACGACCGGGGGAGAAGGAAAGGAGAAGCTATCCATTCAAACCAGTTTCCACTAATGCTGATTTGGAAGTTCACGGAGACAAGAGTTATCAGAGCCTCGACATTAAACAATTCCCATCAAAAAACGCCCCTAAAACGATCAACGACACGACGCGGCTCCTCGCTGCATTTTTAAACTAACCTCTCGACTGTTTCTGAGGAATGTGCCCGGTCATACGATGCTGTGCGGCGGCTCTCGACCCGCTCCTCCCGTGGTTTGTGATGTGTTGGGTCTGAGGGAAATCTCAAAATGGCGGCCGCGCTCTTCTCTGAAATGTCACATCCGCATGGTGATCCAAACACGAGCCCATCCCCGGCGAGGTTCTCATCTGTGTTAACTCATATGGGCCCGGTATGTTCCTCGCACATTGGACATATTACACAAAAGTGCATTTATGACCTGAAAAAAACCCTAACACTAATAGTATAATCATAATTTAAAAAAAACGTTTATCCACATTTTTGAACGAGCGTGCTATGGGAAACAAAAACGACTAACTTCGAAGTAATGACACAAATCTTTTTTTGAAACAAAACTTTTGATAATATTCGTAGCTACTTCCCAATGCATAAGCAAACTTAGCTGCTGCCGAGGCCAGCAGAGGGAGCCAAAGAGCACTCTGTTTTTCTCGTTCTCAATGTTCTGGTATCAGTTTGATTTGTCTCAGAACTTGGACCTTTGTATTAGGAATGATGTCAATGCCAACTTAACTGAGTTGTTGCGAGTAGAAACAACAGTTGGATTCATTATGTATTGAAATGCTAACTGCTTTTAGCAATACATCGCCATAACAATTACATTTGCTTCATGTTGTGCTTTTAAGCCGTAAAGATAAATTATGCACAAATCAATATACTGCAGTGTGTGAACCCTTGTTGCATTCTGTTAGAAATCCTAATAAACTTTGTGTTACATGGCAGCCATGCTAGATATTAAACTCATGCTAGGAGTCCTGAGACTGTCCCATCTGGTCTATCATTTGTTAATCTTTTCTGCTGTTGTTACCTGTGCAGCAATGTCCATAAATTAATGTTTTCCTTGTGCTTTTAAACCTAATCAATTAAACTGACATATCCATCTGCTATTGGGAATGGGAGTACATTTAAATACTTTAATTTTGAGAAATAACATTTCCTATGCTATTCATTGACCATTATTTTATAAATAATATAAAGTGATTAATTTGAGAACCAATGAAAAACTATTCAGTGTGCAAAGCAAAAAGAGTGACTATTTGAATAGTTTTGCAATTTGCATGATATAACCACCCATCTCAAACCACATACATTTAATAATAGCTAAAATACCCCAGATGTATTTCCACTTAAACTGGCCAAAATCACACACGGATGTATCAACATGGGTGCACAAGATAGAACATTTTTGCTCTGCAACAAGCTACTTGTGAATTGGATTTTTTTTTTAAAAAGTTGAACACATAGTTTAAAAGTGAAGGATATTCAAATAAACTGCTGACATGCCCTGTTCTGCTGACATGCCCTGTTCTGGCTGCCGAATAAACTTTAAAAGCAGACAACAAGGTGCTAAAAAAAGTTTCCAAAGTCCCTAAAATGTCATAAATGGAACTACAACAGTCTTTATCTTCTGTTGAGTTCATACCTTCACAACTAGAATGAGCTAAAGTTCTGTTTTTATGGAATGTGTTCAAGAAAACAAGTAACCCAGAGAAGAAGACCTTAACCTCTTCAATAACATCCTTTGAACATTAAAGAATTGTAAAACTGAATTATTTGGATCCAAGCAGTGAACATGCTTGGTGTGAACCAAATTCAGCACTCAGGGAAATAAAAATTAATACCAGATTTTTTGTTCTATTCATTGTTCCTTGATTACTAAAACAGAATTATTTTTGTTAGTGGCGGTTACATTACTTTATTTTACAAAGATAAATTTAAAAATGGGTCCTAACTTTGATGTAAACTTGTTTTATTTTATATTTGCTATAGTTTTTATTTGCTATAGTTCTTCTATGATATGCATTACATGCATATAATGCATCTAAGAGAAGCTCTTTTCCATCATATCTTCATTTTCGAAATTAAAACATTCTCAACATCTGCTGAGCAGCCTCAGCCTGTCCTTCAGGTTAAAGCTTAAATTGTTAGATTTACGCCACTAAATACTTTGCAGTACGTAAAAAACTACTTTGTTTACAAAAAGAAATGGAAAAGCAACGTTTTAGCCACAGTTCATTTAAACAATAAAATACCGGTTAATTTATAATGCATTGAATTTCAATTTTAGTTGCTAATGCAAATGCATGTTTTAGTTGTCAAAGCTGTAAATTCAGATTGTTCAGTTATTGGAATATTTTTTTATTTTCTGTAATACTTCCTTTCTCTGTGTTAATAATGGCAAATACAGTGAAAAAAGGAAAAAAGTACTAAATGAATTTTTCTTCTTCCTGTTTGAAAAGAAGAAATATTTCCAAAAGTAGACAATCAAATATATTCTTTTGTTGCTTGAAATGAGGCACTTTTAATTTTAGAATAATTCTTGATTGTGAATTGAATTGAACAATCTTATGAATTGAAAAAGAATCATAAAGGGTCATTGTGTGAAAAAGCTAAAACTGTTGATTTACTACCTTGGCATTTTGTGAAGTTCACAAAGGTAACAAAAAGGGTATACTTTATACTTTTAGCTACAACTAGAGCTAGATAAACAGCTTACAAAGTAAACTGGCAAGAGAAGAATTTGAGTTAAGTAAGAAATGTTTCAACAATATTTAGATTGTTAATGAAGAAGTGTCAAAACATTTTTTAATCTTAAGATCTAAGTTTTAAAAACAGAACATACAAACATAATTTATGTATTAATTGTTTCAGAGTTTTACTATTTTTAATCATTGTCTCCCAGTTGAAAGGTGGAAATGTGTTGTTATATTTATAACTTGCCAATAATTTTACTCAACAGAACCCCTTGCACTGAGCTTTCCTCCCTTGAATCCAGAAAACATAAAAAATTATAATATTGGAAGTGGAAATGAATTGAAGTCTCTAAGTTGAATTGAACAAGCTTCCATTGCTCATTGCTAGCTCATGAGGTGGGATAGCAATGTGTTCTCCCTTACTTGATCCTCCTGAGTGCTAACTACTGCAGCGGACTGTTGCCTGTCTGGCATGTTGGGGTCTCAGGAGAGGTCTCTCCTGCTCGGTGCAGGGTGGTCTTGCTGGCAGAGCTGTGTCCATATGATGGGCTGCCATGGAGACTGGGCTCTAGGTCTGGCCAGTGTGGAATAGGTAGCAGCATTAGCAGCGTAGCAGGTAACTGGGTCAGATGGTTCTGTCAGTTTTGCAATGTTTTCTAAGGTTCTTACCCTTCTAACCACTTTGCACCTTCAGGTGACATTTTCACGTAGATACTGTACCCCTTGTCAACATACACAAGCACACATCCATCCACCCACGCATACACAAATAATGTAAATGTTTGAACAGAATGTTACTATTACAGCAATTTGACCTGCCAAATGTTGACGCTGGGTACAGTCCTGATTTAATAGTCAATCAAGCAATTACGTAGTATTCGAACATGAGGGAACGTTTTTGTAGAGCAAGTTTGCCCTAATGCATGTGGGCAACCAATTTCTCTATTCAGGAAATGCCAAGATAAGACAAGTGAAAAAAATATGCAAATGTTGCTGATTGAGTTCTATGTGTGTTATATTATGTTCTCAATTTATCAACTGATGGGACCAGAGTAACAGATCTTACAAAGACAAATACATCATAGCTAATCATATGTCTGTTTTTTTCCTTTTCTATTTTTTTTATTTTAGGTATGCAGTGAGAAGTTTGAATGGGATACAAGCAAGAAAATAGCTGAACATTTCTAAGTTGTTGCTCTGTTCTTGTTTATTTTCGTAAAATTTAATAACTTATTTTACTTTGAGGTAAATATAGTAGATAGTTTTTCACCATAATAAAATAGTAAATCTGAATAATTTGGATAGTTATGTATACATAATACTTTGGATGTATAACATGCTTCAGTATGTCATGACTAAACGTTGTAAAAACATAAATATAAGCTATTTAATATCAAAATGATTAATGTATTTTATTGAACAATCTATTTTATTTTCCAAAAGTAACTGACATATTAAAACATTTATTGATAAAATATATTTAAGGTTTTTACATTCATTTTCAACATACATATATGAATTTGATATAATATAATATAATATAATATAATATAATATAATCAGAGCTTCCAACAAAACTTTGAAGCTCTATTTTGCCAGTTTCCGGACGGACATGTTGGACAGCCAATCATAAAGCGTAAAGACCTAAAGCCCACCCACAGTGCTAATGTGGCCAATTGTTGTTGACATATGTAGCAATGGGTGGAGTGAAGTACATAACATGATAGTGTGTCATGTATATATCCCGACGTCGGCAAGTAGAGAAAAATAGTTAGCTAGGCTTATCTTCTGAGGTAGTCGGGAGAAGCTGAGGTGCTAAATTAGTGAACAAAAAGAAAGAATATATAACAGTATTTATGACTTTATTTATATAACTCTATATATGCTGTCCAAATATTATCAAATTAAAACGTTAGAAACGAATTTCCTCCGAGCTCTCTTGCATTAAATGGAGGAGAAGAAGGAAGACGGGGACTCGGAGATACAGGAACACGGACCGGAGCACTGGTTCTCAAAATGGGAGCGGCAATGTTTAGCCGAAGCCGAGACGATGGACCCGGGCGAGGAAGAGGCCGACAATGACCAGGATAAACTCTGGCATCTCTTCCAGAACTCCGCCACTGCCGTAGCCCAATTATACAAAGGTAAAAAAAAAAAAATGGCAGCACTTTCTTGTCAGCTTGTAATAGCTTAGCAAGAGGTATGTAGCTATTTAACAACTGCTAGTTGGTTAGCAACCCGGCTCTGTATCTACAGTAACTGTGAGCTAAATGCTAGCTAGCTTAGCCAGCTTGCTAGCCGGTATCAGAAGTAGCGTTCACAGGTGACTTTTTAAAGCTAAAGTTAGCTGGGTTGTGGTTTCCAGGGTTTAGCATTTTCCTGTTTACGTAAAAAAAAATATATATATATATATATATATATATATAGTGCCATACGTTGTTTTTCTGGATAACCAAAGCATAGCAATATAGATAAACGACAGTGACTACTTTCTTTAATATTATACAATTTGTTGACATTAACTAGATCGTAGCTAACTTCACATTAGCCAAGTAGTTACAAAATGGCGATGGTAACAACAGTCGTAGCTACGCGACATTCCCAGCTGACTGTCAGTGTTAACAAATGCTATGAAGTCAAAGTGGATATTTTTAAACGGTTCTTTACATATTTAACGAGAATACATCACTGTACGGTTGTTGATAAAACTCGTGTTTCCCTGCTAATCCGGAGGCTGCTTTTGGCGAGCGTTAAAATTACAAGATGGCGAGGAAAATATTGGCTCCCTGCTTTCACAGTCTTAGTATTTTACATATATAGATACCCCAACAGCAACGAGTTTGACGTATTGTTTGTCTTGTATGTATATTTCGCGTTGCTTAGGAACTTTACTGCTGAGAGTGCAGTTAAGTTCGGTACTTTCTCTCCGCTGCCCTGTTGGCCGTGTAGCTGCCTGCTGACATCTATTTTTATGCCAAACCCCATCTCTGCAGTTGTAGAGGCCAGACAAAATGGCGTTTATAAGTGAACCTCGCTTCTTCAACCCCAACCCTCGATATGCTTTAGTCACATATTTCTCACAGAGAGTCCATATTAAAACAGCTCAGTGTTGTGTGATGTATAGTAACTCTCGTCTAACCTTCTCTTCCACAGACAGGGTATGCCACCAGCAGGGCCTGTCATTGTGGGTGCCGTTTCAGAATGCTGCTACTGCAGTAACCAACCTTTACAAAGGTACCTGTCCATGTGATTAGCATATGCTTTTTCAGCTGCTACCCGCTCATTAGACTTGACCCATCAGTTTAAAAGCTGAATAGAAGTGTGCTCACACGTATATTCATTCAGATGATGAGATGAACATGTATCTATCATTGCTGTCCTCGTGTACCTCATGGTGTCAAAAGTTGTATTGTATTGATCGCTGCATTAAATGAATAGACTTCACAAGGTCTTTACAGATGAAACTAAAATACTTTAACAGAAATAAGAGTGAAATTGGTCAGAGCTGCAAAACTTGGGATACTAAATTCAGGTCTGTCAAGTTTTTTCTACAATACGCATTCCAGTGCCTTTAAAAAGTATTCACACTTGTTCATACTTTGTCGCATTACAACTGCAGGCTTCTATTTACATTATTGTAATTCTGTCTAGACTTATATAAAGCAGTAGGTCTCCACAATATAAGAGAATCACAGTAGAACATAATAACAGTAATTATTTACGATATTAGCAGCAGTGTATGCCTATTTTCTTCTGTCTTGTCTGTGCGTCTGTCCCTCTGTGACCTTTAGCATTCTGGGCAATGCCATTCGTTTCCAGTGTTGGCATCTGTTACTGCGAGATGCTGTCCAACTGGTTGAATATTACATTAGCATGTCATATGCAAGTTCATAACACTTAAAATATATTAGTCAACATTTATTGCGCTGCAAACAGTCCCTTTTGATATACATTTTGCACACACCGATATTATGATGTCGATGGTATATTTCTGCAGCTTATGGACTGAACGTGTTGAGAGGTTCAGTGTGTACTAGTTCTTCTGTAAGGCACAGCATGTATTAATATAAAGTATTACACTATTTAGATTGACTAAATTATTATTAGATCCATGACTGCAGAACTTTTGGAAATGATCAGTGATGTCTTCCACCTCAGAAAGTGTTGAAGCCCATCAGAGAAGTTGTGACCGGGGCATCCAGATAGGTCACCAACGGCGTAACAAGGTGGGTCTACATCTTTGTTGATTTTTTTTTTTTTCCCTCTTTGTGAACTTGGTAACCTTTGTCCTTTACACATTCCTCTCATATTTGTCGTTTGCAATGGGGAAAACGGTTGATTTCAGATCACAGTTATATGTCCGCAGCAGCAGAAGGACCAGATAAACGTATCAAGCTTCAAACAGATGATACAACCGATTGGTTCCTTGCAGGATATGCTGGCCTGGGTGAAAAAGCGCCGAAGAACCATTCGTAGGGAGGATCTCATCAGCTTCCTGTGTGGCAAAGCCCCGCCACACAGGAGCAGCAGGACCAACTCTCGGCTGGCCATGGTGGCCCCCAGCAGGGCCAATTCCCCGGCTGAGACCGGCTCGTCTGTGGAGACGGACCTGCAGCCCTTCAGGGAGGCCATAGCTCTGCATGGTGAGGAAAGCTTAGTCTTGCTCTGACACGGCAGATATATTTGATATGTTTACTGCAACGTATGGGAGGTGTCGGGTAGAAGTTGGTTGGCGTTTTCTTTTTTTTTTTTTTCTTGTTTTTGATGGGTAAATGTTTCATCCACTAACACAACAAATCCATTAGATCTGTGGTAAAATAATTTATTTATAAGCTAAATGCATTTCCTCCTGGTCAGCGTTATCTCCTTCTACATAAGTAACATCTGAGTTATGGTGTGTGAGTTTATATATAGTTGTTGGTCACGTGAGTCTGTTTCTTGCTTCAGTCATGTTTCTCTGCCACATGTCACCATTAGATAAGTTTGTTTTGCTGGGGTGTGTCGGCACCGGCCAATCCTAACTGCTGGTCCCGTTTTAACTCTCACCAAGGGAATGTCACGGAGCACAGCAAACTAAATCAAAAGTTTTTCTTTTTTTTTTTCTTTTTTGAAATTTTTAAAATTGATTTAAATTAACTTATCCTGTTCAGATGCATGGATACATGTTTGATTGCTCAGTATCTTACTTTAAAGAGTTTATATTCTAATGTAAACAAAATTAGATGGATCTGATGTCGAGTTGAATTGTGTGTGAAGTATTTTAGTCTCTGTCAGGAGATAAGGGAGTCTCCCTCACATACTGGTAATCTGTATTTTTCTACTTTAGTGATTTTTGTGGATGGGGACAATAGAGACAATTTTGTCTTACTGTTGTCTAAATATAAATGACCCAAATGTAATGACTTTACCTGTTAAAGTTTCATACATTTTGTCTACTTTTTGAGGATGACCAACTTAAGATTTGTATCTTTTATTTTGATTTTCTTGCAAGCTGTTTTCTTCAATTAATTAAAATTTATTTTGAGCACTTCTTCCTTGCTCTGCAGTCCACGGTTTCAGAAACGTTCTGTGTTCACATCAAGTCTTTGGACACTTTGCTGTGGATGCCAGTGTGTCTCAACGGTTTTCACCTTGGACCATCAAACTAAAAGCTTTAATATACTTGATTTATTTTTTAATTACTTGGACTGCTTTGATGGTACCACTGATGCTGTTGTGTAGACGGTGTGTAATCTAACTTAATTGACTAGAACTATTATGTGACGGCTTTGACGTTTTAAGAGAGAGAAAAGTAGAAAATGAGGTATTCACTTTTGAAATGTTTTAAAGCTGTTGGGTCGAGCTGAATGCTATATTGCTTTACAATATGTGCAATTTAGCTGCTGAAAAGACTGCTAGGGTGCATTGCAGTGGAGTTTCACTTTGTCATTCTCATAACTTCAGTGTCTAGTGACCAAGATCAGAAATCAAAAACTCAGGTGGCATAGTGGGAAAGTGTTATAAAAATTATACACTGATACATTATAGCAAAAATACTGCTAATGCTGTTGGATTGTCAAAAGATGCTCCAAGGATTCAACAAAGAGCTGCTCAATCCAGCATCCTAGCATGGCAAACTGCAGATCTGTGAAGATGCACATGAACTTGATTGGACACAGGGAGCATTAATCAAGAGACTCAATGTAGCCCTTTTGGAGCTGCAGCACTTTGCAGCTTAGACTGGAGAATCTGCTGACAGGAAATTGAATAGTTAGTCTTCACAAATCTGGCCTTTATAGAAGAAATGCTAAAAGGGGGGAGAAAAGAAAAGATGCTGTCTGTGGTGGAAAACCAATCGGTGTGAAACAGGAAACCATCTCATCTTGGTGAGGGGATGCTTTTCTTTAGAGGAAGCTGGATGGAGCGGTTGAAAGATGGAGTGAGATGTAGCAAGAAAGACTTGAGGTGAGAAAGAGGTTAACAGTAAAGGTTTAGATGAGAACATTAATGTGTTGGTAAAGTCCAGACGTGAAGCTAGACGTTTGCCATTTCTCATTTTGTCGTCTTCCTTATTGCTCTCATACCAACTGAAGTTCGTTGGGCCATCTTTTCCTCCTCAGGCCTGAGCGGCGCCATGGCGAGCATTAGCGTGCGCTCCGGCGCTCCGGGTTCCCCGACGCACGTGAGCGGGAGCAGCAGCAACACGGGGAGCGCGAGCGGCGGTGGCGCGTCCTCTGGCTCCGGGCCGGTCTGCCGCAGCAGGCGCAACGGCCTCCAAGACGTCGACCTGAACACTTTCATTACAGAGGAGATGGCCCGACATCTGGACTCTACCGGCGCCACCGCCGCCGGGGGAGGAGGAAACAGGAAGCGCAACTCCACCCAGTGCAGCGATGTCATCACGGACTCTCCTACGCACAAACGCAACAGGGTGATCTGAGCTTTGTGATTAAGGTGGGATGAAGTCTTCAAAGCCAGAATGGACGGACGGACGGATGGGTCTTTGTAGTACAGATGTGCTGATGTACAGACTTCCAAACATCTGGACTGGAAATGAAAGTGAGGCCTGAAGGCTCTTGGTTGCATTTGTTCATGAATTGTGTTCCTTGTCTCCTTTTCCAACACTAAGTACAAATCCACAATGAGAGCAGTGTGTGTGTGTGTGTTTGTGAGAGAGAGAGAGAGTGTGCAATTTAGTGGGAAGTTTGGACGGCCTCACACATTCCTCAGACCAAGCTGCCCTGGAAAGGAGACAAAGAAGGAGGTCACTTACTAATTCTGGGATGTCGACGGTTTTCAATGAGCGGAAAGTACGGCGTGCAGCTCGACGAGCAAAAAGCCACTTAATCTCTGACACGCGTGTGTGCTTCCCTCCCTCAGTCTGTCATCCCCACCCATCACCTTAATAAGGAAGAGAGGGCCATGATCAAACGTCGGACTCGCCAAAAAGAGAAAAAAATGTCAAAAAAAAAAAAAAAAAATCGGACGGGGCTTGTCGAAGGCTCGACTTCAGACGGTGTGTTTTCTGTTACTTCCTGTTGCCTGACAGCGCTGCGGCTCGTTCACCCAGCATCACGTCTGTGGCTTTTGTAGCCAGTTGCCGGGCAGATGATGTCTGAGCAGGTGGAGATTAACGTTTGGACACTTAGACCATGTTTCTTTTTTTTTTTTTCCATCTTTCTGCTGTTTCCGCTTCGGACTCGATGTTCTGCGGTTGGTTTTTCGTCTCTTCGCCCAGCAGTGTTAACGTTATCGGCTCATCGCCACTCCCTGCAGCTGGAACAGCCAAGTTGATTCTACACAAATCTTTTTGTTTTGTTTTTTTGTCATGTTATCGTTTGATAATGGAAATGGAGTCTTATGCCCTTCCTTCTCTTTCCCTGCGTGTTATCATGAGATCCGCTGCAGTTTTATGTGCTCGTGTGACAATTCCGATAAGTTGCAATAAGTATTTTAGTTTTTTTTTGCACTTAGCCTTCACCTCTGACTCATGCAAACAAATCGGCTCTTCCACTTTCCTCCCCCACTTGAAGTTGCTCTTTAACCCCCAGCAGGTGCTTAAAAAGCGAGTAAAACATTTGATTCCACCCAGTGGTGCGTTTATGCAACCATCCCTGTGTGAGAAATTATTTAATTTATTATAAATATCGTATTGGCAACTTGGTGCACTTGAATCGCTCTTAAGCTGGACTTGTGTGTCGGAGCATTTGATAGGAACGTTTTGTTTTTTTGTTTTTTTTTGCCGCTCTTATAAAGCGATCATTCTGGGGTTCATTTCATTCATAAAGTGGTTGTTGCTTCTCTACTAACATGGATTACATCAGACACTGAGGTCACATAAATGAAGAAATTTGATTGTTTTTGGTTCAGTGAATAAGAAATGGACATGGAAGGAGTTTATTAGATTGAAAAAAAAAATAAGAGTAGCGCAGCCAAACCTGAACTTGCCTGTGGTTGTAATAATCCCAATAATTAGAGAAGCACTTATCAATCTATTCCTGGTTGATTCAGTTTTTTCTGTCTTTCTTTGCAAGCACTAAATAATAATAATAAAAAAGTAAGAAATTAAAGCATTGGAAAGCACTTGTGCAGCAAAGCACAGATCCTGAACCATGATCTGATTTTTGGTGAACTCGGAAATGAATCAGAAAACTGGCTGATGCATTTATGGACTCAAAAAGTGGGAGTTCTTAATTGTATACACATTTAATGAATAGGGAAAAAAACAAACAAATCTGACCAACGCCAGCTGAATGAAGCAAACCAGATGCAACACCTGTTTATAAGTTATAACTTTGTGGGATTGAAAGTTTTTAGTTTTGCTGACTTGATGTCTCATGCTCTCTGCTCTTCTTTGTGACTTGGTTCACTCCTCTCAGATGATTATTTTTCTTTTAAGGATTAAAAATAATTAAGTTTTCTTTGAAGTGGCACGACAGGATATGCTGCTTTCGTCGCAGATTTCATTGTGTTGATTATTGTGATATTTTATATTTAGATCCTGCTGGCTGAAGGAAGAGCTGATTTCTCAATTCTATCAAAGCAAAGTCCAGAGCCTGGAGTTTTAAATTGATATTTGTTGAAACTCGAGGTGAAAACGGAAAGAACGTCCTGATCAATAGGAAGTAGTTTCGTCAGATTTTCCTGTTGCCATAATAACATTTCAAGTCGGTTGACTTCAAGATACTTAATTTAGGAATCTGAAGTGAATCCTGACCTGCCCGTTTCCTATCTTTTGGTTTATTTAGAGTTGACATGTTTTTGTTCTTTTCCTCAGTCGGTCATGGCCTTCATCACCTTCATCAGTCTGACTCATGCCACATGATGTCTTCAGAGCCAAAACTATGATCAGCTGTTTCTGGATACTTATTTGTCTAAAATAAGATAAATGGCTAATCTATATACTTAACAAATAATTGTTGGTATGATATATGTGGCTCACATTGTAAAATAAATAAAGCAGTTCAGTTGAAATTGTATGAGTTATGCATTTTCATTTTTTTAAGCTATATTCTGTGGCTCAGAACTAAACTAGGGAGATCTTACCTTTCTTTTGCTTTTTAAAAAAAAATAAATAAAATAGATATCTAAACTTGAAGTTCTATGATTTAAAATAAATTGAGCATTTCTCTATTCNCTCAGAAATTGGAGTTTACATAACTAGATTTTTATGTGACGTAAAATTCTGCCCCTGCACCCCACACTGATTGGATAATGAGCAATGTAGCCAGCCAATCAAAAATGAGATCACGTTTTAGCAAGAAAAGTCAAAACTGTTCAACTTGGGCATAGCCCTATATTGACATACCCAACAAAAGATCCAGGAAAAATATTAAACTGGGAATATACTCCTAACAATACACATAATAAATGGAAAGTTTCAATCAAAGCAACAGGGTTTTCCATATGTAAACGTCAGTTTATCAAAACGTGTTTTCCTAACAGGCGGAAAAACTAATGGCCACCAACAGTTCTGTCTTGAACCACCAGAGGGCGCCAAGATACCGTATTAAAAAGATGCGCCCGTCCTTTTCTTCCCTCGAAGAGTCGCTGTATTGATTTTGTATTTCCAAATATCAAGTGGACATTTACCATGAAAATATTACCTTGCGATCTAAAGTTGAGCTCTGTATTAACAGAATTCAACATTCTCATTATTAAAGATTAGTAGCTTAGACAATTTCACACATTTGCATTTATTTACAGGCTTAAATAATTAAGTGTTGCAACAACTGTAAACTTAAATGACAAATGTAAAGCAGACACAACCTTAAACGAGATCAAATAAAAAAAAAAAGAAAATCAAAATGGGGTTCAACAAAGTCTGGGGTATGGTGGGAAAAAAAAGCCAACTAATACATACCGTTTCATTTTAAAAGCAAAACTACATGGGTGTAGGGTTACATATACAGCCAACACTGTTGAAGATCCACCAGCTGAATTTTATAAGGTTTTAACCTCTCCTTCACTTACGAGCAGCAGATGAGGCAAAACATTGGTGTATAAAATAAATCAAGATCCAGGTTTGTTTTTGTATCTGACATTAAGGATTCAGAAGAACAGTTAAATGAAATCCTAGTGTGATGTTTTGATGAGAAAAGTCCACTGCAGTTCTCCAGGAGCTCCCACCCGTCTGATCGCAGGGCTGGCTTAAAGTGTTGCGGTGCGGTTCAGATCTGGCTGAGCGGCAGGAACTTCTGGTAGTAGCTCTTGGTTACATCAATCATGAGATCCTGTGTGCATTCTGGGAGCTCTGCTGAAAACAGACCTGGAGGAGCACCAAAGAGAGAGAGGGGAGGAAAAAAAACTATTAAAAGCAGTTTTGGTGGAAAAGGAAGACAAATAAGTCTGCTGTGTGTCCTGCTCACCTGGACATCCGGAGAAGACGGTGAAAGGTGGCACCACTGTCTCAGGAGGAAGCACCGTGTTGTCTAGGATCTTGCAGCAGTCTTTCAGCACACACCGACGGCCCTGCAAGACAGAACGAATAAAATTAACAAACATCTTTCACCACCTCCCGGAAGTCGTACTGATTCAGTTTTGCACTCTTTTAAGTTCCACTGTCTAAAATGTTGGTTAGAAAAAGAATACAAGACAGGAAAAAAAATAAATAAAAAAATCATACAGTTTGTATGAAACTGAAAATCCACTTCAAAATATAGGACCTGCAAAAATTACATTCCAAAAGGACAAAAGGAAGGAAACTTTATGGATGGATGGATAAAAGGTGGACAAACTGATGGGATTAAAAACAGACATAAATAAAGAAATGTACAAATAAGTAGAAAGATGATACATTCATACAACTTTCAAAAAAATGGTAGAGAAACCAGAAGTTTACAAACATTTTTTTTTTAAATCTCACTGATAATAAATCAGACCAGGCTTCTGTTCTGATTTCAAAGTCGTTGATAAATAAATCTCCGACACGTCATTTTCCCAATATTGTTGCATTTAGCCAATAGAAATAATTTTGGTAATCCTAACTGACCTGCATGAGAAGCTTAGTCTGATTTAACTGTAAATGCTGAAGGGGAAAAAAAAACCAAAACAAAAAAAAAAACTGTATGTCTTTTTATTTGTTGTATGTAAACTGTATTTCTCCATACTCTATTTCCATAAATATTCTGTCTATATGTCCTCCAATCCCTCCCCCACCCCCAATAGATATTAATCTGTTGTTTCGGTGCTGTTTGCCATCTTCTCTTCAAAGCATGACCACCATGTGACTGTGGAAGACTGTAGCTGGGAGGCAGTCCCACTTTTTTCCTCTATTTTTTAAGGCTGTCTTTTAACCGTTCTTGGGTTCGTTGGTTCAAAAATTTCTCTCTCCCCCCACTTACTATCACACAGTTCTTGCCGATGTGGACATAGGAACCGATCTGCGCTGCATTGACCACACAGTCCTCCTCGATGAAGACATGGTCTCCAATATGGAGCGGGAAAAACGCCACACTGAAGCAAAACAGGGATAAGGACAAGATACGCTGAATGATTAAAAACATACAGATGTAAGACTCTACAAGCCTGCAGAATGAGTGACTGCAATAGTTTGGTTAGTTTTTTTTAAAATGCATTATATACAGAGAGATGAAGACATTTGCAAAAACTCAAACATCTGAATCAGTTTTAAGACAGAACTAAAACAAGATGAAATGTGACATGATCAGCTTGAAGACGTGGAACATGAGAAGAATCCCTTACCCTTTGCTGAACTTTTTAAAAGGTGGTCGAATAACACTCCGGCTTTTTACAACACAGTGTCTACCCACTCTGACATTAGCCAGGTCCCCCCTGATGATGCAGTCATTCATCACAATAGTCTGAAGAAGAAGAAAAAACCAGGACAAGCAAAGCTTAAAACCAGATTTCTCTCCGTTAGCTCGGTGCGTTCGTGTTGTTTTCTCACTTTGCCGTTCAGTACGATGTTTTGACTCCCGCACAGCACGGACTGCCTGCTCACTTTGTTTCCAGAAGCCTG